GGCTGGACAACCTCACCCTCCTCACCCAGCCCACGTCCTGGTGCTGAGCTGTAAGCTTCCGGAGGCACGTCTTCCAATTTGAGCTCACCGCTGATCGCTGCACAAAGGAACAAAACCCCTTAGGGGTCTCAGTGTGGGGCTGAGGAGCCAGCAAGAAACCCCGAAACAAAGGGGTAGCTGGAAAGACCCAGAAGCTTGCAGAACTTCTAGGCAGAAGCATCCCCACTCCAGGCGGCCCCAGGCTTCCAGGGGAATGCTGCAGCCTGTGGGATACTGCTTCGGTCACTCTCCTTGGACAGTGAGGTAAGGACAGATGACCGCAGCGGGCAGCTTTGCTCATCCTGCTCTGCATTTTCTGACTGCTCACCCTCTCCTCCCCCTGGCAGGTGTCCCTCCCCATCTTTCTGCTTCTGCTGCCTTCTTCTCGAGCCAACCTCTTTGCTCTTCTCTCAATGTCTGCATGTTTCTCTCTCCAGCGCTTTCCAGTGTGTCTTTTGTCCCTATCCCCTCTTGCTACCTTGCTCTACATACCTCCTCTTATTTCTCCTCCTCTCAGTTCTCACAGTACCTTTCCGTGTCCCCTTCGCTTTCCTCCGTTAGGTAGAAGCTTCCTGCACCAAACACCAGAGTCTCCCTCTCGCATCCATCCCATGCTCCCTGGGCCACCTCCGCTGTGACACACACAGTGTCTTGCATCACAGACTCCCTCAGCCAGCCTTACGGATTGTTTCGGGTGCTTGGTCACATGCTGGCCATGCTCGGTTCATTTTGGGGTGACAAGATGAAATTGTCTTCTGCGTAGCCACCAGACCCACAGCACAGGATTGTACTAGGTTTTTGAATATGAACAGCTCTGCCCCCACGATAAATAATGATTCATGAAGAATCTTCACCTGCCCCCTTTAAAGAGCCCGGTGGGACCCTTCCTCCCTCTCTCCCCACTTCAGAGGCTCGCTCTCCTGCCGAATCTCACCTTCTTGCCCATTTTCCAGTTCTGTTTCTGTCTTTCTCTCTTTACTTCTCAAGTGCTTTTCTTTTTACCTTGAATTCTACCTTTCGGTTTTTCTCTTTTCCCTTTACTTGCTATTCTCACTTGCTAACTGATAATTATCTTGGCTGAATTTTGTGTTTACTCTTATGTTCTTTTCTACAAAGGTAGCTTATTACACAACTACATATATGTAATGTTTACGTATTAGAATTGTTTTTATAAAACTTCCCATGTAAATATATCAGTAATGTAACATTTTCCAAAACATGTGTTCAGCCTTTAGGGTACAAAAATGTGAGTACTTTCATCTCTTGACAAATATTAATTGAGCTCCCATTAGATGCCAAACACCCTGGGACATGCAGCCAGAACTAGTCCCATCCAAATAACAGGAAATGGCTTTCTGGAGGAAGCTTCATGTAACCAGTCAGATCATGGAGGAGGTGAGGAGAGAAAAGGCCAAGAAAATAGACCCAAATAGAGGACAGCGCATGGACAAAGGCAATTCGAGTAAATAAAAGAAGTCGGCACGATTAAGACTTAGCATGAGAGAACAGAGGATAGAGGGCTGGGTGGCTGTTGGGGCCTGGGGGTGGAGGCAAAGGAGGACTCAGGGGAGCCCCCCCACAAAATTTCTGGCTTGAGAAAACTGGACAATAATGACACCATTACTGATGACATTATTATTAGAGAGGGAATTTGGCAAAGAAGGAGCAGGAGAAGGATCTGGTTGAACGGAAGAAGATAATGAGATCAGCTTGGGAAGCACTAAGCCTGAGGTTCCTGAAAGACGCCCCAGCGAGACGCCTTTCAGCTCTCAAACGAGCAAGCTGAGAAGACGGGGCTGAGCTGGCCACACGTATTTGGGATCAGCTGGCTAGGAATGTTGAGACCGTCTGTCTGTCGAGAGGCCTATTTAATCTGAACAGGTTACAGATGTCGCTTTGAAAAATGGGGGCAATTTACCCTGAAAACTCACCGTCAAAGGGGACAAACCCTGAATCAGAAGCTTCTGTCCAGTGGCCATCACTCAAATTCTAACTATTTCAATGTGTCTCCTCTCTCCCTGTCACGCTGACCTCTGCCGCTTTTCCACTCACCATCGCTTAGTATTTTGTCTTTCTGGTTTCTTTGCACCTCTGCTCCGCTTTCTCTTTTCTTGGTGTTTACTGGGTCCCCAATGCTTCTCTCTCTGTGTAATTCTTGTCCCTGCCTCTTGTTTGAGATGTCAGTTCATCTCCTCTCTGCCGTGTCCCTCACTTCCTCTCTGCCGTGTTCCTCACTTCCTCTCCTGTCTCTGTTTCTCAAGGGTTCGCCTTGACCCTCTCTCTGCCTCCACTCTTCCAATCATTGTCTTTGTACGCATGGTCCTTGTCTCAAAGATCGGGTCCCTCTATCACTATAGGTCTCTTCTGCTGGCTTGAGGATGCCACCAGAGCCCCTCGCCCCTACTTTTTTCCTCAAAGGGTTTTCTACAGTCATCTTACTTACTTGCCAATCTGATAGTCACATGTGTTATTTGCATGTTTCTGTGACAACTTCTGGCAAGCAGGATAAAAAATTATCTCCCTGCCAACCCTCCAGCAACCTGGAAAAGTGTGGCTCTCACGTCCCTTTGGGAAAAGCCAGGCTCGCTTTTACTACTCGTGATGTGACGGCCTACGCTATCTACCTGTTTTATATTCGCTCTCTTCACATTCTCCACCCAGAGCACCTTCCTCCACTGAGTTCTCTCTCCTTTCTCTCTGGCCTCCAGGGCAAGGCTGGAGTGAGGCATGCAAGAGGCCTAAGGTCACAGATTTAAGGAGGCACTTACTCTCAGGTTCATGCAAGTAAACATCTCGAAATTCTGTACCTTAAGCCGCTCATACCCTCGTCAGAGGCTGGGCTCGTGTGTGGCCTCTTCTCCCTCCACATAATGACCTAATCGGGTGGCTGGTCATTTACAATGTGGGATTTGATTGTAGTTACCTTGTCCATTATTCGGGTATAGGCTGGGCATCTCTGACTGGGCGCAACTGATCGGACCAGGCTGGGGCAACTGACCATCATGTCCCCCTGGTTCTGGAATCAGCCAAGGCGTCATCTCACCTGGTCCTGTGGGTGGGGCTGTTCCAAATTGATAGGTCTGGGGCTGAAACACACCTACAACCAAGATGCAATCCTTAGTTCAACCGAAACTTATTGTCTTCAGTATCATAGACCTGAGGCTTTATTCTTAAAATATTTGATGCTGGCCAGAACCTTCCATCCTAAGGCTTCATGACTGTGGGAGTGGGTATACAAAAGTGGACGGATAAGTGGGGGCGGGGGGAGGAGCAAGTGTCACAATACCATTATCTAAGCAAAATCCGCTTGAATCAAAGAAAAAACTATGTAATATCTGGGTGTGGTTGCTCTCTCTTTCCTTTTTCATGCCAAGAGTTTTGGATTTATGGGCACCGAAGAGAGAAATAAGGAAAGGAGTGGCCAGAGCCTGTGACCAGTAAGGTGGGGCCATACTGAGCTCTGAGGTCGAAAACTAAAGCCAACTGCTCTTTGCAAAGTAATACTCCCGCTCCATGATCCCCGCCTCCAATCCGACCAAGCCTCACTCTGCCTCGTTATTCTGTTAGACCCTGTTCTCTCTCTTCTTCTCAATTTTCCACCAGGAGCCGATCTCCAGGCCTTGCTGCTTCTAGCCTGGGCAGAGATCTCTGTATCCTGGATTCCTGTGGTTTCTGCCTCCCCAGTTTCTCCTGTTACCTCATTTCTGTCTCTCTCTTCCCTCCAGTGACGTTCTCCAGCTCAGTCCTGGGTATCTCGTTTTCCCTTCCCAGCTCTCTTCCCCTACACCTCCCCCAGCCTATATGTCAGGCTCTGTCTCTGTGATTTTCCCCACTCGACCCACAGAAACTAAAAGATACACTTTCTAGTTATATCCATGACTTCTGGCAGTGGGGAGAGGGGAGTGGGAAGTAACAGCTTAACGGGTATGAGGTTTCCTTTCGAGGTGATTGAACTGATTTGGAACTAGATGGAGGTTATGGTTGCGCAACACTGTACATTTTTTTTTCCTCTCTTTAATTCCTCCCTCTCCCCCCGCACTTCCACCCCTGACATATGGATGTTGCCATTTCCCCTTAAGAACTGGATTTCTGAAGGCAGGGCGTCTCCTCCCACACGTTCGGGGCGTGCACCGGGCCTGGTGCACCCCGGGCCTGGCACGCCCAGGATATAGTCCGTGGCTCCACCTGAGGCACAAACCCAGGACCTTCTCCGTGTAAAGCAGACATGCTGACCACTACACTATGGTGCCATCTCAACACTGTACACTTTTAAATGGTTACTTTAATGTAATATGAATTTTATCTTCATTAAAAAAGGGAAAAAAAAGAAAAGAACACTGGCTCTGGGCTCAGAATGCCTGGGTTTGACCTGCTCATTTGACCCCAGACCAACTACATACATGGTCTCTCTGATTCATTTCCTTATCTGCAACATGGGCACATAAGTAATATTAGCCTCTAACAGCAGCTGTAAGCACTAAACTACAGCTGAGCTGTTAATAATGTGGTTGTTTTTACTGTGTCCTTTACTCCTTTCTTCTCTCTTTTCATTTCTCCTCCTTCTTCCTCTCTCTCTCACAGTGCCCACAGCCCCTCCTCCATACCTCTACCACTTCCTCTCTTCTCTCTATATCCGGATGCCTCTCTCTTTGTATAGTCCTGCTCTTAATAACATCCCCCGCGTTTACTTTTTTATGTGTTTGGTTTTAACAAAATTTATGAGGATTCACAAAAAGAGCTACCAAACTTTTTGATATGTTTAAATTGTTATTGTTTACACATACATATACATATACATATATTTTTTTTATTTTTATTTTTTTTTACTTTCCAGAAAAACTTTCTTTTTTTTCATATCATTTTTAGAAGTCCCTCTGGTAGCTCTTGTGCACAGATCACTCTCTCAGACGTGCTGGTGTGCAGGTTGGGTGTTACTTGTTGAGTTTTAGATGTTCAGCTTATCGTCATTTCAAGTGAAGAGATCTGAGGACATCTCTCACTCCGCCACGCTTCTAGCGTCACTCCACATTCCCCACATTTAAATCAGTCCCTTCTGCCATCATCAGGGTCTTTTCTTTGATGTTGACCTTGGGCCCATAGTTCTTAGCCCATCACAGCTTCACACAGAAGGTCTCCTATGGCAACTCATAATTCATGCTTCGATTTTTATTCTGCCCGCCAGGTTACTGAGCAGGATCTCTCTTTGCCACCTCTTGCTAATACTCTTGGATTTCCCATGGAGTCAGGTCATACTGGAATCAATTCAAAGCAACACTCATCTGCCCACCCCACATTCCTCTGGTATTCCTTCCCCAGTGTCATGGTCGCCCTTCAGTTCCTTTGTCTATTTTTCCTCTTAGGAACCAGAAAACAAAGTTTGTATCTAATCATAATTACCTTGCTCACAGCTTGGCTCAGTGCTGGGCATGTTTTTTGTCTTTCCTCTATCACTTTTCGGGAGACAATATTCGTATTGGATTACTGATCGGAGAAAAAAAATTAATTAGAGGCTGCAGGCATGTGATGAGGGACACCACCTTATAATTACATGTCAGGACCACCCATGAATCCTCGTGCTTCGATGGGGGAACTTCTGGCCCTTAGGTCACTCTGAATCTTAGTGTCTCCTAACTTGGTGTTGCTTGTCCCATTCCCTGGGACAATCATGAGAGGGGAAAAAAAAAAAAACACTGAAATTTTATAGGTGATGAGCCTCTGGGGTTTTAAGGATAACGGAACAAGTAGGAAAGTCATAAAAGTAATTAATCACCCAAAAAGATGATCAGAGGGAAATGAAAGCTTATCTCAATGTAAATTGTATATGCGAAAAGTCTCAGTGAACTGTACAAAGCTTAGGGAATACCAGAGGCATATTTTCTCAATAGAATATTCATTTTCTGGATATTCACAGGAGAAAAAAAAAAGGACATAATTAAACCCAAATTAGGCTCTAGCAGAGTAGTCATTTGGCCGATCATTTTAATGATGAGATCTGAGAACATGTCGGTTTTGTTCACTGTTACTTATATTCACTCCACCTACTACAGGGCCTGGGACATGGTAAGCATTTTGTGAATACTTGTTAAATGAGTGACTGAGTAAATAGATGAATGAGACATGTACCCCAAGAGGGAGAGGAAATAATTGATTACCATTTTCAAAGCTTCTATGAATAGGAATTAAATCAGGATATTCCTTCAGA